TCCCAGCTCTGTACCTTGCTGCTGTTATGGCTTCGTCCCAGCTCCTCTGTCCTTCCCTATTCCGCTCCGTTTTAAAAGAACCGGGGGTGCATGTCGGATCTATTAGAAGTAAAAATTCATGATCAGTTGAGAATCATTTAGGGTGTCAATTTGGAGTTTTTGGAAATTTGCATTTCTGCAATGTCTTAGAGTGTCGGAAAAGAAGAAAAAGAGCGCATCGCTATAAATTTTACTCTGAGTTCTCAGAACATTGGAATTGATTTAATTTAACAATATTTGTTGTGCAATCTCTAAGAAGTATATTAAAAATCAGTCAGCCACGCCCTTTTTTCAAGACTTCTGGGATATTTTAGGAGACTTTTTGAAAATTTCTGACGAGCATCCCCGCTACTTTTACCCCAGAGAACACCCCCTCCCCCCTACCCCTTCCGCGGTCCAGAAGAAGAGGAGAAGCTACCATAGATCAACAAAGTTGGCAGTAGGCAATCTATTGTTATGATTTATTTTCTTCCTTCAATGCAAGGTTATGTTACAAGTATAGATTTACAAGGTCATGCAACACTAGTGTTGTATAAGATTTACAACGGCGGCCGTCACCTTGAGACAACCCAACACTAGCAAAGGTCTCAGTTTTAGTATCGCATCATAGACCTTCACTAGGTCTTAAAGCAATCAAAGACGGATAACAGTAGAGCTCGCTTATGCAACAGATGGCTTGCTTTCCATGTGGGATGGATAACTATTCAAAATGTTCTGTGTTGCAGTAAATTGCGCATGCTTAATAGCGACTAAACTCAGCAGTTACCTTAATTGGCATTTTTCGTCATTTATCTCACTCTAATTCATGTTAATTTGTGTTGGAGTTTTATAAGTCGTTAACAACATTCGCGTCCGTGTTGTAAACTATACATACTTTCACCTGATAACGTGTGCGAGATGCACCATGCAGGGATTGGCGGAGTTACATGAAATTAAACTGAGTGAGTCATTCTCTGCTCTTTTTCGTTAGCGTTTGACGTACAATATTATATTATGCCAGAGTTCCCCCAAAATGCGGTAAGGGAAACTACAAACTACTACCGTTTGACTATTTTTCGAAGAAATTCTCTGAATCACGTAATAAACATATCACTGGAAATTTTAGTTTATTTGAAAGACCGTGCAACTAGTTTGAACTGCTGATCTTCACATCAAATTGTTTTCGTTCTCTATATCCTTCGTGTGCATGTGATGTCATAGTCACGCAAAAAATCTCGCAAAATCCAAAATATTTTTGTTAAAGAGCTGTTCTTACAGTATATCTTAAATATATTTCTAGATAGTGTGTATGGAAATTTTCAGACGAATTCAACGCTTTGGTGGCGAATCACAAAAGTTTTAGTTTGTGCGGAGTTTAATTTATTCTACTCATTAGATCGTAAACAAAAACATCGAAATTGGATAAATCATTCTTTCAACTCCGTAAGAGCTTACTTAAGGTATATTTCTTTGAAATAAAGCCATAATTGAACAAAATTTACAAAGGAAATCAAGGAAACCAGAGTTTTTGAAGTCAATTTGAAAGTTATCATCCAAGATGGCGTCCCCATACAAATTAACCAAATATTTCAAATATTTATTCGCTGATATCTTCATCAGAAAGTAAGCTGCAAGCCTTAAAGCTCGTATTCTAGATAATCTGACTATGCTCTTTGACTCGCTACTTGGTTTTTGAAAATAACGACTAATAAATTTTCACTTTGGGGGTTGCACACCAAGATTGTATATTATCAAATTATTGGATTGCATGGCCAAGTTCTCCGTCGCTATGAAAGCCTTATAAATCTTCATGATTTTAGAGATTGTATTTCCCGTGCTGCGATTTAATTTGATACGGTCTGTATCAGATCCGAAGTCTCCAGTAGACAGGGTGTGTCAGTCAGGACAAAAGCTTGTTACAAAACACACAGCAGGACCTAAGCGTTAAGCTTTGAACGAAGAGATCTTTCCRCTTGCTTTGATAGTCGTTTCAACAAGACCCTTACATAACACAGTCACAGATCAACATGGCAAAACCAACACACTCTGTAAGTGTGAGAAAAAGTGGATTTAGTCCAAAAGAAATGGAAGACATAATCAATTCTAAGGCCAAAGCACTCAATCTCTGCGACACAGACATCAACAAAAAAATAGTACAAACGGTTGTACAAAGATTTCAGGTAAATGAAACAGCTGAAGGAAAATTGTACGAAAGACGTATAAGCACTAGTTTTATACGAAAGTTGGGTTTATTGCCAGCTTCACGTGATGGCACAATTCAAGGTCCTACAGCTCAGGCAACAGAAGAAAACCGCGGAAAATGGGCAACAAATAGCAAAGCAAATCAGCAGAAACTCTTTCAGATTCTGTTTGACAATGGCATGTTGGATAACGAGAGGTACAATGGTGCCAAAGACGGCGAACTCATACTCAATAGTGACAATAATAGGAAGTGCTCCTGTGTGGAATTATGTAATGAGCTTGATTCATTGGCAAAGGCTTTCAAAGACAAGGAACCTCCAACCAGTGAATGCTCTCATATGATGGAGGTGCGTGAACTCTGCCAATCAATTACTTTTTACAGAATTTTCACAGCTTCTTCATTTCCAGATGATATCCTTGAAAAGAAAGGGTATAAGGAATGGAGTAAGCATTTGTGTATGGTAGCTTCATTTGCCGCTGTGAAAGCTGGCTTAGATATCTATCTGAAAAGAATTAAGAAAAGCCACGATATAGAAGACATGATCAATTCTAAGGCCGAAGCACTCATGCTCTGCGACACAGACATCAACAAAAACATAGTAAAAGACGTTGTACAAAGTTTTCAGGTAAATGAAACAGCTAGGGGAGAATTGGACAAAGGACAGAAAAGCACGAAAAACATACAGGACTTGGGCATATTGTCTGCTTTATCTAGTGGCAATCTTCAAGGGCCTTCAACTCTARAAAATAAAGATGTCAAGAAGTTGGACAAAAATCTCAAAAAAGAACAACAGAAACTCTTCCAGCTTCTGTTAGATGCTGGCATGTTGAATAAGGATAAATATAGGAGTAGAGACGGCTATCTCGCGGTGTTCTCAATGATTGTGGGGAAACATGGTCATGTAAAAAAAAAGAAGAAGCCGTGTTCGTCTGTGGATCTCTGCAATGTGCTGCATAAATTGGCAATTTCATTCAAAGAAAAACAACCCTCAAATCCGCATGAACGAGCTGATATAGAAAAGATGCGTAAACTCTGTGAATTAATCACCTATCAAAGAATTTGCGCAACTTCGAAATACCCAGATGATTTCCTTAAAAAGAAAGGGTCTGAAAAATGGAACTCTCATCTGCACGTGATAGCTTCATTTGCTGCAGTGATAATTGGAATGGATATCTGTCTGAATCAGACTCGTACGCAGTCTGTGTCTGAATAAGGAATTGGAGGAAAGCGAGCCTCTGTTACCTAGGAACAGTACAATAACATTCATCTCGCTTCGTTCTGAAGCAAATGATCCTTAGACTGAGCTAACTACCACATTAATAATAGATCAAATTAAAGGTTGTAGGTTATCTTTTAGTATATTAATAATGATTTCCACTGGTAAGAGACATATTATACGCTGGACAGATCAACACTATATAAACCGAATTTGAAGTTTGAAGTTGAAGTTTTGTTTTATAGTGCGAACACTTGAACCGTGAACACTTGGAGGTTTCTTTCATTTTTGCATAATTGTAAACGTTTAAACCAATCACAGACATTATTTGCGTCRGAGGACGCTAACTTTGTTCGAAGATTTTAGGGTTAAAGTATATCTCACAGAAAATGACTAACGTTGAATACAAAATTTATAATGTTYAGCTTATATCAATGAATTGTACTACAAAAACAAGAGGACTTACAAAAATGTTTTCAAAAGGAGCTTGTAAATCACTGACACTGTGTACTGTTGTGTTTAAATAATAAAGTTCTCGCCGCTGCGGCTCTATCTCAACAAAAATAACTAGACGATCATGGATCGCTTACGTCGGCTTCCTGCAGCTGCGACAATGGTCAGCCGCCGCCATTAAGCTATAAGTATTTCATTTTCACGATAGAGTCTTGGTTTGAAATGGTTCAAGACAGAATTAAATCAATATAAGTAATTTACATCTTTATTACATCTTAATTTTTTCATCGAACTGAACTAAGTACTACTACAGTCTTTGGTTTTGTCGTATGATTTACATTCATGGCTTCTAAACAAACATAGTTAACTATGAAACAAACCAGCTGGTCACAGTGAATGTTAAAAATGAAAAAAAAGCGCGGATTGGTTCAGTTTGACAACCCCATGGAAACTGAGACTGCAAACCATCTGCAACGCATGCGCTACCAATTTGAGATAGAATATTCACGACGGAGAAGAAAAGTTTTAGACGTGAGCTTCCACAGGAAGCCAACGTACTAAGCACGAGAATACAAGCCAAGCCTCAGGAACCATGGGCAATCTCAAATGTTCGGTGTATATCGAATTTTTCCTTGGAATATATATCAGCGCCGTGCTTCACTATCTAAGATTTTTCACTTGATTCTGCGTGCAATCTTTTCACATTACTCAATATATTGTACAGCTATTTCAAAAAATCAGTTGTCGACGGGAGAACGGCGAACGACGAACGGCGATTGTCGAACGGAGATTGCACAACCAAAAAGGACTATGGTTACCCTATTTTCATAAACAAAAATAGAGACTATCTGAGCTATGAACGCTCTAAAAATAATGATAAACCAAATGAAACAACTGGAAAAATATAGATAAAAAGAGAAACAATATATTTCAAAAAATTATATATATGATATCAAAGAGGCAAGATTTTGCTTTGACTCTGAGTTTCGTGCTACGCACTCATCAGACAGAATTTTTATTTAATTTTATTTCAAAAAATTATGTAAATATAGATAAATTTTACTTGACAACAGATTCTCTTGATCAAAGACATCACTGAAAAAAAGAACGAACATTTTTTTTGGAAATTTGCATTTCTGCAATGTCTTAGAGTGTCGGAAAACAAGAAAAAGAGCGCATCGCTATAAATTTTCCTCTGAGCTCTCAGAACATTGGAATTGATTTAATTTAACAATATTTGTTGTACAATCTCTAAGAAATATATTAAAAATCAGTCAGCCACGCCCTTTTTTCAAGACTTCTGGGATATTTTAGGAGACTTTTTGAAAATTTCTGACGAGCATCCCCGCTACTTTTACCCCAGAGAACACCCCCTCCCCCCTACCCCTTCCGCGGTCCAGANGACCTCTATACCATATGCAGAAGAACTACGTCACATATATTTACCTTATAAGGTCTCAACTTTCCATATATGGCACAAATAGCATAGTCCCTTTGATTTGGTCCACACTGACTTTTTATATCAGCTGTACACTTTGACGCTGTTATCTAATTACTACATAATAAATATATTTTTTTAAATTTTTAGTCTCTCTTATCAATAGAAATTTGCAAGCAAAGATGTCGTCAGGGAGAAAGACTCATTCAGGTATGTTAATGAACTCTGAAGTATTATTTCTCATGTTTTGTTATTTCTTAACTCCACGATATATATTTTTTTCAATGTCAAAATTTATATGTGACTAAATAAAATGGATTTATAACAAGTTCTAATCAAATTATATCTTCGAGTGTAGTCTGTAAATGTAATTTTGYATGTGAATCGGCATCCGCTTCCCTGGCGTGGTTTTTTCTTCGCAAGATTTGCTTGATTTTTCTTCACTCTCTCTTACCTCGCATGAAGAAAGAAACAAAAGATGGGTGCCAGCGATGGTTTTATTTTTAAATAGTGATAAAGCTTTTCTGTGATAGCTGTGTTATAGAAAGTAGAGCTGTCCCRATATCGTTAGAAGCTAACGTGCACTTCCGAAAAAGTGTCCTTTCATTGCTAAGTAATTACACATGAATTCAATAATAAAAACTCTCTCAAATAACTTAATTTTATATGTAACAAATAAGCTACATTTTGTGCTCGTAAATATCTTATTGTGGTTAAATATTTTATATTTTTATAATTTATTTTCTTTTTCATTCTGTCTCTTCTAATGTGTTCAGTGACATTGTCCGATACAATGTTTTGGTTTCGATTATTTGTATCGGATTTGTATTTGAGTCAGTTTCTAATACACTGAAAATAAATTTTATGATAATGTTTTGTTTGTTTTTTCTCCTATACTTTCTCGCATGGAAATGCGCTGGAAAAAATCGTGCTCCTTGAAGGTTGTAAATCTAATGGAAATATTGTAAATCAAGTTTACATACATTGTAGATTTGATGTAAATATTATTAGTATAGTGTCCAAAATCATGGAAATATTACTTATATACATGATATTTACATCATTTTTACATCAAATTTCCAAGCGCGATTTTTCTCAGTGATGTTTGTTTTTTCATCAGTGATAACTTTCTATTCGTTAGCAATGACCATCACCACAGTTTTGACAATGAGGGGCTGTTTTGCCATACTCTGCGAACAGAGGTTCTTTTCTCACCCGCCGAGAAGCGAGAGGTCGGCGGGTGAAAAAAGAACCTCTGTTCGCACAGTAGTTTTGCCATTCAGCTAGCCGAAAAATCATGGAAATACTTTTTTTTATCTCTATCATCGTCATTATATAAAACTTGTCAGCACACCATTTCTATCGCACTGTCAAGTCGAGAACAAAGGACTAAGTGGTGGTTKGGATAGCTTAGCTAGTTTTTTTTCATTCAATTCGTGATTAGCTTTTTACTCAATTAATATTCATTTTTCCCACAGAAATAAGCTTTCAAGAAAACATCAACACTCTACAAAGGGAAGTCATTCGTTTAAGGCAAGAACGCAAGCTTGTGAGAAAGAAAGTATCAGAGACAGTCGCAGACATCGTGTACTACTGCAAGCGCCATGCTAAAGACGACTATTTCTTACAAGAAAACCATTCCAACAACCCATACCGCGAGGGCAAGCAATGTGCTGTAATGTAGACAGATGAACCTTGTTCCTAGAGGTTTTCTCCTTTTTTTCTAGCTTTTTTCTTAATGTTTTCTACGGTATTGTTTGTATTTTAGCTCTTTGCTTTGCATTTACTCATTGAACAGAGTTTTTCTGCTTTTTTACGGTTTTTCTACAGTATTGTTTAAATTTTATGTCGATGCTTTTCATTTGTACTTATTTTAATAAAAGATTTTCTTGATTTTACAATTTTTCAATATGTCCTTCTAAACAGTATTGCTTTTAAATATTTATTATTATAAATAAATTATTATTATTATTATTATTTGAAATATTTATTATTTTTATTATTATTTATTTTTTAAATACTTAAAAGTATTTTATCTCTCTGCTTTGCCTTTGAAATACCTTGAACAGATTTTGTTTTTTTTTGTAACAATTTCATTTAATGGAAATTCCTATCTTTCACGTCGACAAGTAGTGTTGCCAAATTCCGTCGTTCTTCGGTCGGCCAGCAAGTACTATACTCAGGTATAAATAGCGCTCTTATCTCGAAACGTTTACACTGATTATAATATTTATATCATTTAGACTATAATTAAATTCATTATAGATGAACCGCATATTTTGTTTTTATGGTACTTGTTTGATGTTGTGTATTGTACTAGTACTTCAATCTGTGAATCTTATACCACATTGTGGACGAAGCATTTTAAGTGCGCAAAATAGCCAGAACGCGTGGTCTGAGCCCATCTAAGCTGTCAGCCACTTTTTCGTTCACTCAATTCATCTGTTCCCTTGTATTTGAAACTAGCCTCCTTCACAGGCAACTCTATACATAGCTAACTATGCTCTATATAAACTCAGCCCAGCGACTGGGCTTCCTTTGGCGAGACGCGGGGAGACTGTTTTTTTTTTTTTTTGTATATTATATAGTAGTGTGACCTCCAGAGAGTATGAGAGAGTTTAGTTTGAAACATTTACAATACGTTTGATAAAGTAGAAACTTTTCTACCACATGTTTTTGTTTGTTTATTTTTGTTTAATTTGGATAATACAGCTCAACTATTTTTTAGCGGCCTGCTTTTTTCGGTCCCCGGTTAAGTCGAAAAAAAGCCGTGATTCAGTTTTGTCCCTCAGAAGGACAGTCAACTCCGATGCAGGCGCTCGCTTGTAATTTTTTTTTTGTAAATTTTTTTGTAAATGCTCTATTCGCAGAGTAGCTCATTTAGTGCATCGAAGACCTTAATTGAGCGGGAGCCTGCCTCACGCTAAGTGTGGCAAGAAACTAAAGCTGCTCGAAATAGAACGTTACAATAATGAATCGCCATCTTTTTTTAGATTGCTAATAAAGTTATAAAAGATTTTTTTAATTCTTAGATAGTATTTTTGGGATTTGTTTTGTACATTTTAAAACTCCCGCTCATTTAGTGCATCGAAGACCTTAATTGAGCGGGAGCCTTCGTCACGCTAAGTGCGGCAAGAAACTAAAGCTGCTCGAAATAGAACGTTACAATATTGAATCGCCATCTTTTTTTAGATTGCTAATAAAGTTATAAAAGATTTTTTTAATTCTCAGATAGTATTTTTGGGATTTGTTTTGTACATTTTAAAACTCCCGCTCATTTAGTGCATCGAAGACCTTAATTGAGCGGGAGCCTTCGTCACGCTAAGTGCGACAAGAAGCTAAAGCTGCTCGAAATAGAGCGTTATAATATGAATCGACATCTTTTTTTTAGATTGCTAATAAAGATATAAAAGATTTTTTTGCCAAAACAAAACTAGCACTCATTTAGTATGTTAGTATATTGAAGACTTTGAGCGGGAGCCGATCTTATATCCACTTCGTAAAAAATGACGGTTCTCGGGAAAGTGAAACACAAGGGATGACAATAATTATGCAAAAAAAAAAATAATAAATAAATAAAAAAAGAAGATAAACAATAAATAAAATAAAAAGGAAAAAACAAAATCATTAAACGTCTCCTCCAGGGAATCGATCCCGCTACCGTCAACCTACATTGGATTTGCAAGCGGCGCCTTAACGCGTTGCGCCACTGCATCCCTCTCATTTACATAATAATAGACCACTTGACACTTTCACCGAATAGACTACCCCGATTTGACATTATACTTTCGATAGTTGCCTAGTTAGTGCAAGGGGTTATCCATCAGTGTCTAGGGGCCGGATAGCTTCTCCCTCACTGGCTTTTTAGWTAGCGCGAAGTTAGGACCAATTATCGGGATAGCATGGAAGAGCCGAAATCTCTAACCGCAATGTAAATCGATTCGCCGCCTCAGCTTCACAGAATGTCTCGGGGGAATCGTCCCAACCTTTTTTCGATTTTATGGTCATGGGTTCGAATCCCAATACTCAAGTTTTTTCTTTTTTTCATATTTCTTCTTTTTTTTTTTTGCTTTTTGTTGTTGTTTGAATTAGCTTCCTATGCATTAATGTTTAATTACAAAATCTGCAGAATCATTTAGTAATTACTAATTATTTTCTATAATGTGATATTTCAAAGCGCGCTTTCATTGGCTTGTTTTCATTAAACGTATAATAAGTTTTCACAGCGCGGCGATTGCGCAACCGAGAATCAATTTTTGAGTGTCCGAGTTACGTTTGCTGTTCGTACGGACATGGTATATATCTGACACTAAAGTAATTATATAAGATATCGATTTTAAAATACTATAATTTTGTTTAGAGTCAAATAAAAATATGAATACGCAACAAACTTTCTGATGTTACCATGCACATTTAGCCCGGCATAGAATACATCAAACTCCGATGTCAGACACGGACTGCAGCAATGTCACTACTTTGTTCTCAATACCTGCTATGTTTAACACTTTTTTGATTTTTTTTTGCATTATGAATTTATGATTAATCATTTTTTCGTGGAAATAGTCGCATTTCGGCTTATTTGAAATAGAAAAATCCATGTCCGTATGAATAAGTCACGCAGTCTATGGCATACGAAAACAGAAAAAGCAATGAAAAACGTAATTCAAAAATTTCTAAAGGTGATTAGTTAACCGTGATTCGAAAAAAATGAGTCGTGAAATCGCCAAATTTCTAGCCGTGAGTCGTGATGCGTACGACCCCATTGAGACCCTCTTGGAGCCATGCATCACATACTAGAAATTTTACATACATTCTCGAGAAACATTTGTTGCCTGCTTTATGACTGTGAACGAGCAACTAGACTACTCCTGTAAAATACACTTGAGTGTACTAGAACCGAGTCATCGTTTTTTCGCGCATTTTTCTGTCTTTTCGGTGTATGACACTTTCTAGTGAACTAAAAAAAAACAGGGAATTATTATGTTACAAAATACATAGAGGATATTACACTGTGGCGCGCGCGAAAGATTGATGAAAACAATAATTTACGAGAAAGCGCAGCGAACGTTAAAATGTTATTTTCAGAAAATAAAATTCATATCTTCAAGCCACGRTGTAATGTTCATTTTACTGAATGGACAAACTAAAGTAACTAAATCAAGAATAATTTGTTGAATTTTAATTCAAGTTTAGAATATTTTCAAGCTCACCGGAAAACATCAGTGATTCTATCTCGCTGTCTTCGTTTATAGAGGCCATATATTCCTTGAATATACGAAAGTCGTATTGTTTTTTGTTTTTTTTTCATTGTTTTGGTTCTTCATTTTCTTTTGAAGATTTGGCCAAGTGTTATTCTGAGAMTTCAGTACAAATCAATTAGGCCTTCATGTTCAAGTTAAGAAATGAGCGGGAAAGTTATTTTTATTTGACGCGCGCGTACATYCGGGACATTTTGGCAAATAACTTTTTCATATCTTCATAAATATGGAAAATACGAGTGTTTTAGTCTCCATTAAAACACTATTAACCATATAATAAACCTTAATAAGCTCTAATCGTATTGCTTACTATCAAAACTTCAATAGTCAGTTTTGCTTCACGGGTTTAATGCCTTCATTCTTGCGTATACTATAACAGTTTGTTTCACGGATACTAGCAGACTATTCTAATTTATAATTAAAGTTAAACAACAAATTTTCCTCCTTTCTCATTGGTGGATAGTCGACCACGTGAGGCAATAGTACCCGCCTCTGAAGGGTACTATCAGAGAGACCTCTGCTTCAGAAAAGTTTGTTGTTGAATACTAAAAATAGAGTAGTTTGCTATGATAGTTGCCTGCGGAAACTGGAAACTATGAATTGGCAACTATCACTCCATGATGACAACCAATGCACGTTCTATTTAAAACTAGAAGTCTACTGTTTCACAATTACGTGCAACAATAATGATCCCCAATGTAGTTTTTGTCTAAAACGTTATCTCAATCAATAAACATTTCGATGATATTATATTCCGAGTTCTACAAAAATATAGACATTGTAACTTCATTGATAAAATTAAATTATCCTACAATGCAACCTCATAYACTGTTCAATGTTAATAAGCTCTCAAAGAGCCTCCGACATTATTTTTGTAGAACAATGTCTATTTGGGTCAAGAAAAGAATTCTTCAGCTACTTATATCTGCTTACTCTGTGAATCTGACAGCTAATGACGTCACGCAATTCTCGGAAAGTTGCATTATGGGATCGACGAATGTTAGAATACACCTTTTCAGTTGCACTTAGTCCTCGATAGCAAGTTAAATATTCTTTTGAATTTGACAAATGAGACTATTCATATCAATAATTGCATTGCTCACATTCCTAGAAAATTCAAAAGAATATTTAACACGCTATCGAGGCCTAAGAGCAACTGAAAAGGTGTGTTGCTATGTTGCTATTCTGGCAAGCTGTTTTTCGAACCAAAAATACTTATTTCACAGGCGGGTCTTTGCATATACTTAAAGGGAGCCAACTTATTTAAAGTTATTCAAAATCTTTCGCAAAAATGGATAACTTTATTATATCAAATAAAGTTCGCCCTCCGCGGTTTTTATAAGACTTCCGCCATCTTGATACATAAATCAATACCATGATGCATTTCGCCAGACAGCAGTGACGTCATCGGATCAACCTCGTTCCTAGACCCTTATCCTTTCTGAGAACGAAGGTTTGGACTGGATCCGAATTGCACTGGGATTAAAATACTATCGTCGACGAGATGAGTATTTACTGAAAATTCTTTTAAGAGTACATAAATTTGAGAATTTCAAAGTATTAACAAAAAAAACACATCTTATAAATCGAACTGAAAATCCGCGGAAATGAAACAAAAAAAAAGGCCAAATATAAAACAAAAACAACAAAAAACGCACCACAATTTAGAGTTTAGGTCGAGGGGAAAAAAGGGAACAGTTTACACCCAAATTATCTAATCTGTCTAATCTGCCTTCACTCGTCATCACTAAAACTGTCTTTGCTTCGAACAACTGGACAAGAGTCATTGCTACTCGAGTCCTGGCCGATGACTCTCCGATTCTCTGTCGAAGTTGACTCCGAGTCAACTTCTTGTTCGACATCTTTCTTCGTATCTATATTTTCGTCTGTTTCTTTGGAGGTGTCAGCAGTCGAGTCAGCTTCTGAATGCTGCTGTCCTTTGTTTAGTTTTAGAGACTGTATTCGGCGGTCAATGGCGGTGAATAATTGTTGGATATCTTTTGGTCCAGCCTGGAATATAGACAGTGCATTACGACACGACAATAATCTAACACGCGCTATGATAGGCTGACCRAAACATCAAGGACTAACCGAAGATTTTATATTTTCCCGCCTTTTTGACACACTCGGCGTGAATCCCAGAAAAATAGTTTTGACCCAAAAACCTTGCATGTGACGCTGTCTTTTCCCAGATGGAGCCATAAGGTAGCAAAATCTTTATTTGCGTTTTTGCTTTGCTCAAATATCAACAATAATGTGAACTCAGACTTCCAAACAACTTTCTGTTGGCGTTTTAATTTCCTTTAATTACCAAGTCTACCAATAGACTAATAAAACATGAGAAATACACCGCAAATAATCTAAAATAATCCTTATTCGGCACGCTGAGTCTGTATTTCTAGTGAGTTAGTCTCCTCACGAAGCCGTTACAAGTCTCGTTCCCAGGTCATTATAGTAGGAGAGACCTGGGAACGAACTTCGTAACGGCTGCGAGAGGAGACTACTATTGAGTATCTCTTTGTCATTTTGGTGTTTGGTTAATAGAAGCCAAATCGCGCCACATAAACATTTTCGCATGGGAAGCCCGAGTTCTCCTTATTGCGAAATTTGTAGTAAATGAGACCTTTATTACAGACACCTTGCTTTGTGGACTGTGAATATCGGTTAAGGGGCTGTGCAATATTTATCGGTTTGAGAAATGAGCCAAAAAAAATCAAAAAAGGTTTATAAATATTGCGCAGTCCCTAAGAAGATATGCGTAATAGAAACTAGAATTGATTGTACATCGACTACATACCATGATAAGGTAAATTTTMACATCATTGTCCGCATCAAATCCAGTTATTCGTAAGCTTCTTTCATTTGCTCTTTCTAATGTCATTTCTGGCCAGAGCTTGGTGTTCAGCGTCACTCGTAGATGTCCTTGAGTTCTCATAACTAAACAGATTGAAYTTATAAATGTTACTTTATTAAGGAAATCACAGTAAATCACCATTTTAAAAATATAGTTTGGAATATAATTTAAGACTACTGTGGAACGCCGCCTACACCCTGTTAATACGACCATTCATTTGTCTCTTTGTTGGCCGGATTAACAAGGTTCCACTGTAGAGTGAACTGTAGAGACTTTAGCCTACTACACTTTATTACTCTTTGCTGCGCACGTTTTTCTGTCTTTTCCTTATACATCATTACACTTGGCTACTACAATATATCATAGGTGTTTTAACTCTATTTCTGTATCATTTAGTCTCCTCCCAGCCGTTCTTAGTGGCGGGCTCCCTGTCCCCCGCCGGGGCGATGTACATCAGAACGGCTGCGAGGAGACTATGTATCATTATCCAGTCTAAAATAAATTATCATATTCAACATGGAATTTAAACTCACTCAGGCGAGATTGGAAAGTGCTTTCAGAGCTTGATTGACACATGTCATTCAGTCTTAGAAGACCACGCCCCTTCTCTCTCCAACTATGGTTATCAACATCGAACATGAAGAGCCTACAGTTGACCTGATGACAAACAAACAACGATGATTTATATACCCTATAATCAACGTAATTCCTTGTGTTTCAACCTGCGAAGTAGTAAGGAGAACACGAGAAAGGTTTTGAATCGCGAGCTGAGAGAGATGTACTGAGAGATTAACAAAAAAGAAATATGAATAAATCCAAGCATTCCGCCTGCAAAAATGTAGGAGTGATTGATTGATTTTGAGGTTGATTGACAGATTTGTTTGAACAGTGCTGATTGATTTCTTAGAAGGCTGATTGATTGGTTGGTTAATTAGCTGAATGACAGGTTGATTGATTAAATGACTGGTTGCTACCAATGATACCGTACGTTGACTTAGGTGATTGATTGATTGATTAATTGATTGAAATGTTGATTGATTGACTGATAAATTGATTGATTGATTGATTAAAAATCTGGCTGATTGATTGATTAATAATCAGGCCAGCTGATTCACTTAGACGGCAAAGTTTACTCTTTCAAACTTACATGTAGACGACGACATTGTCTGGTTTCTTAATTGACTCAGACGTTAAAGTGTCTACCTAACTGACTTAATAAGATGACTTGTCTGGCCAGCTGTCTGACTTAGACAGAAAAGTGTCTATTTTTGGGTCTATTTAGACATAGTTACTATGATTTAGACGGGCTAACAGTTCGACTTCGACGAAAAAGTGTATGGCTAACTGTGTGATTTCAAAAATACCCTGAATCGTCACTTAGGGCGTTTTCGCACCCAGCCTTTCAATTGGTTTGTTAGCTGTTGTTTGATTGATTGATTGATCTAAGTGTGATCTATTCACCTTCAGCACATTTCTTTCCTCTTCCTCACCAGTGACAACTTCCACATGTTCTAGTTTAGACTTTGAGGGAACAGCCGTATCTTCATAAACTTTAGCAGCTTCAGCAAGAGACAAATGGTGTTTGTCAGGGGAGGATGTAGGGGACTTTGGTCCATCCTCATTGACACATGACTTAGCTACTTGTTCAAGAGTTTTGGGTTCTTTGTCGACTGCTGTACATGTATGCATGAGAAATATGGATGATTAATAATCAACTAATGACAATTAATATCTTAATTAAGCAATAAAGGACTAATTTCTTGCATGTAATTGCTGTCAGACAACAGCCATTTGATGTTGTCTCCAAGAATTTTTTTAAAATAGAGAGTTTTAGATTCTCGTTTACAGCAAACGCCAAACGTGAAATTAGCTTTTAAGCTTTGTCTTAAAATTTCAAACAAACGCAAAAACACTTCCAAAGGAATAGTAATGCGTTTATGCACGAAAAAAATGCTCTATTTTATACACAATTGCGAAAGGACGGAGCGTTAATACAGAAAAACTGTGATCACGTGATCAGTTTTGACGTTTGGGGTTTGCCGTGAACGCGTATCTAAAACTCTCTAATAAGTGTATTATGCCTGACAGAAGTACTTACATGTAACTTGTGGGGGGTCTTCAGAAGGTGTTGGTTCCTCTGTTTCCTGTTTATCCGTATTCTCACTGCTCTCATTCTTCTCATCATCAGTGTGAGTGGCAAACTAAAATACAAAAAACAAGGTTATAATACATGTACTTGAATCCCGCAGTGACAGCAAAAAGGAGTCTTTATCGATCATATTGCGTCCATCAATAAAATAATCGACCTTTTCTGCTTTTCTTAAGGCCGAATTAGACGGCAAAACGTTTGCCCACAACCATTGCATGCAACCTGCGTAAGTCATCCTTACAACATAGCTACAACTGTTGTGGGCTATTAGGCAATTGTTTTAAATCCTCATGACCCATGACTCTAGCAAAGGTATCAGAGGACATGGCTTACTGGCAAAATTTTATAAAAGAGCTATTAAATGCCCGCTTGTGTATCTGACCTCTGATATAAACACGGTGTGAGTTCAAAAACATGAGAGAAGCAAGCTTAAAAACACGACCGTAGCGAGCCTTTATATCAGAGGACAGACACACATGTGCCTTTTTATATTTCCTAAATTTTTCATTATTTGTTTGTACTTTTCACACTTATAATGTTTGCAATATAGTACTACAGATAAAAGCAAAACAAATGAAAATCAAGCTGCCAATGGCAACACAACTCGAAGATGGATTGTGTGAACGAATACGGAATAATAATTCTGAATGCAAGTAACGCAGTCTCAAGTTTACAGGAAAGTGAGTGAGTGAGTGATTGAGTGAGTGACAGATTCGTCCCCCTCCAATAACTCTTCGATTGCTTCGCAATCTTCGAGTTAAAAACAAAACAAGCAAACAAATACAAAAAATAAACAAAAAAAAATAATTGTTGACTTACTGTGACACGATCACTCATATTGCAGCCAAATACAAAACTGCCTGCCTTCTGTTTTTCAATTGACCTGGTAGTCACCAAGAAAAATGCATAAACTTTTTTAAAAGAACAATGTAAAGTACACAATTAACAATTAACATGCCCTACAGTGGAGAACAATGAGAATTTAGTAGTAGTCCAAAGTGCCCCCTACAGTCCCCCTCCCCTCCCCCCAAAAAAAATATTACCCTACCCCCCCCCCAAAAAAAAAAAAATATTAGCTTCCAAAAGCTAAACTTCATAAAGAGAAAGGCCTATATGACAGCATTCATCCCTGAAGTTGATCTGGAATCTCTTCATTTTCAGTCCTTGAAAAGCTTACCACTTTCTGTAGCAATGCATGTACAATGTACTTACTCATTATTCTTCTCCAAAAACATTTGAAAGTAGTTCTTTGATGTTCCAATAATGGGTTCTGGAGCAGAAGCACCAGTTCTKGTCTCATTACTAGACGACTCACTGGTGGAAAGGCCAAATGTCTAATACAAACAAATAAAATAAATAGCTAAGGTAAAATTAGACAATTTGAGACTTACCTTGGAAGTTGAAGTTTGATTAGAATTCTATGAGTCATTGGTCAGGAGCGAAGAAGTCACGTGAGAAATTTACAGCCCAAAAAATACAAAAAAAATTACACCCAAACACTCCCTTAACGTACAGTACAGTACATGTACATAAACTCTTTACTAGTGAAAGGGGAAATTTCTTGGAAAGAAATTCTATGATTGGCTGTCGTTCTTAAAAGAAAAATGACACTTGTTATCTTTTGTTTTTATACAAGCCTAATGGATTACATCTTCTGAGAGGTGAAAGCCCACCCAGAAGGAACAAGAGAAAAAGGGAAGAAAGAAGAAGCAAACAATTACATTTTGTACAAAATAAGGTTACTATTTGGTACCTTTGGAAGGGTTGTTGCTGAATTACTGTCCTCATCTGAAATGACATACAGCAATTCATTGATTAATGACCTGCCCATTTCTAGAATAGACACGTGCATACAACTATGATATATGCATTATCAAATCATTAATAATTCATATGTTAAACACAACGGAAAATCATTACTGTAACTGATAAGTAAGGTATTATCCTGATTTGCATGCTACTTTACTATTTGATTTTCTCTTAAAAAAGATATTTTCTCTTGAATTTTTTAGAAAAAAAAATRTGCTTTAGCTTATGTTGGAATTTGATAAGCAATGTAAAATATCAGTGTTTGCAGCTCGCAGTTTTAAATGCCCTTAAAGGTTTGCCTCCTTTGACTCCTCCTGGTAAAATTTTATATACAATATTTATAAATATCAATTTTTTYGACACAAGGCATCCTTATTATGGACAGYGCAATTTATTAATCTTGAAGAATTTTCAATTTTCAGTTCTGAATAATAATTGACAAAACTTGGTGAAATTGTCCAAATGAAGATTTTTAAAATACATGTATTTAATAGTGTTCAAAAAAAACAAACACAAGCAAAATAGAACTTCAAATTAAGACAGCAAGTTATCTGTTACTGGATTTGAGCTCAAGGAACAGTACCTTTAGAACATCTCGCAGCAGTTCCTGTTAGATTCTTTGCTACTTGAGTCAAAATTGATGGTTTTAACTTGAACTGTTTAGGCTCCTCATCTTCTTCCTCAGTCCCTTGAACACAATTACATTTTTAACATAAAACTAGACCCTGACAGCAGGGTGTACTTGTCCCCTAAAGGTGTTGAAAAGTGCTGGCTTATTCAGTACTTTTCAAATTGAGCTCATTTAAAACCTTTCACTTGTTCTCCTATATGCCTACCCATGTATACCCTTGTACCRGCCTAAGCCCTGGGCACGAGTAAAAAGTAGCTGGACCAAAGGTCAAAATAGACAGTAAATTTTGCCAGTTGTTGGCTTTTAATGCCTGACGAGAAAGAAATTAACATATTTTACATTTCTTTTTTTAATATCTTTTGGGATAATGAAAATGGAGGCATATTTTACAAGACTGGCTATTTGCAACAAAACTTCAMAAGATTTGATGTAAAGTAGAAGCCTAAGCTGGTACAGATTTCTCTCAAAAAGGAAGCGTTGTTACAAAAGAGTCTGGGACTCTTCTAGCCCTGTCTAACATACTTACATTTAAACACCTTGGCCACTTTCTTGACTGGTGAGGTGGGACCTTCTGGATGAGATGGTGATGAAGGTATGTCTGTATCGTAAATAAAATAATGAACAAATGAATGGATGAATGAACAAATTGGATGAATKGGTGGGAAGTAGAATTAACAGGAGGAATTAGAAACTCACAATGTTTAACAATAAGCACAAATACATATTTGATACCAATATTTGGTAGTGAAATCTCAATTTACAATCATTACTGGCATTTAGATGTATTCTAGTTAAACTACTGTTTTAAATAAATACAGGCAAACTTTAAATGCATGCCCTGTCACATTCTGACAAAAAGAAATATGAGGGATCTTGAAAATAACACAGGATTCAATGGATTTATTTTATTGATATTCATCATAAAATGGTGGGGTATTCTAAAGTTTAGTCATCCTACGTCTTTACTCACCTGATTCTGAAGTGTCTTCCTTGTCATTGTCGTCTTCTGCTGGCCTCTGAATTTAAAGATCATTCTTTAATTCAAATTATCACCTAAAACTATAATCAACTATCCATAATTCCGATTTAAGCCTAATAAATGTTGACCTTTTTAGCTGAGGTTCGATCTTCTTCTTTCATATCAGAACCATTCGTATCTTGATTTTCGTGAGTATTCTCATTCGCAGCACTACACGATGGATCCTGCCAGGCAAATCAAACGAGTCAATTAAATCATCTGTCGTCGAAGAAGAGAAAAGAGTTGCCCACGCAGACATGCAAGCTTTGAGACTTGACAACCGGTCTGCATTAACGTGTAATCTCACCAATATTTACAATTACCTTTACTCTTTCTGACATACTCTGTCCAAAGACGAACTTTGGAGGTGCTACAACTGARGCTAAAAGAAAATACAAGTTCAAAACTAAAGCAGCATTATAAGAAAAGAGGTCACTTTGTAACTGTTTGACTAAAAAAACCTTAKAGAAAATATTGAATTTCTTCATTTTTTTCATACCTTGAGCACCAATTTGAGCACTTTCTTCAAACGGAGCAGATGCTGAAGCAATAATTTAAGATTATCAGTAAGTTTAACAACTAAATCTGTAAAAGTGGAGGTATAATTACTAAGAAAAAATGATTTCACTCACTTTCCGCCATTTTGACTTGGAACCATGTGACTCAACGTTCCTTGGAACATTTTTCTGTAGGGCTAAATATTCATAAGTATGCAGGGACGTTTTTTTGTGTTCTATAAATAGAATGAGACGGAATCTATTTCAGACTAGCTTTTACCTTTCTTTGTATACAGCCAGACGTAAGGTAGAGTAGAGAGATAGGAGAAAAGGAGTTTAAGAGCGAAAGCAGTGAAGAAATTTTTATSTTCATTTCCGGTGCAAGATTTGTACTTACAAATAAGCCCCTCAAAGTAAAAAGACTAGGATTTCTTGTAAACAAGCAACAAAATGGAAAAAAGATCGAAAATAGATGATTGAAACAACAATATTTGTAACAAAGACTGGAATTTTTAAGTAAATAACGATTTTTATACCATCAAAAAATCAATTTAAAAAATTCGGTCACGTGATTGTGAAAAACTGAAGTGAGCCAGCATTGCTTTCCGCTGTACAATCCAAGATGGCGTCCAAYGTAGCATCCAAAAGACGATCGTTTCAGCAAAAAATAGCTAACAAAGTTATCCAAACCTCGCCAATGTGCAGATTGCCCGACAACATAATGCTACTGATATTCAGCTTTCTAGATGTGAAGAGTTTGTGTGCTGGTTCAAAAGTTTGCCGTCGTTGGTATCACATTGGAAAAGACCGTTCCCTTTGGAAGACTGTTGATCTTCGTCCCTGGCCTCTGACACTCAGAACACTGTGGAAAGTGGTCCGAAATCGATTTTCTGAGAGCGTGGTAGAGCTACAGATTAAGGGATTTATCGGCACAACGAAAAAGAATGAAAATATATCGCTGTCACTGCTGGAAGAAATCAAAACAAAATGCCCAAACCTTGAAAGTCTAACATTATGCTATTGTGATATGCGAAACGTCGAAGTACGATGCCTTCCTCGTGCTTTGAAGTTGTTATCTTTAGATCATTCTATTATTCCTCTGGGTTGGTTTGACACACTAAGCAAGGACTCTATTTTGGAAAATTGCGAGAAACTTAACCTTACATATTGTACACGTCTGTCAGATATGGATTTGCAAAGTATTATCAAACTGTCAACACTTAAGGAACTAAACGTCAGTAAYTGTTACCGTCTTACTGATAATGCCATACAGTTAATTGCTACCCGGCTTAGTAATCTGATCAAACTAGATATTTCAAATTGTACTTGTGTAACAGATGTTGGACTACACCATATAGGGAGGCACCTATCTGGCTTGCAATCCTTGAGTCTGCTTAACTGTAGGGCTATAACAGACACTGGAATTGGYGCCCTRGTGCATAATATGAAACAATTGCAGTATTTGAATTTAKCAAAATGTCCTGAGATCTCAGATAGTGGACTTGCAGTCATTTCTGAGAACTGCAAGAGATTGACATGTCTGGATGTTGTGGATTGTACAAGGGTTACTGCTATTGGTGCTGATGGTGTACGGACTTTGCTTCCTAATTGCATAGTTTTAGGGCCTAATCGCTAATGGCTGGGCCATTTTCTCTGCTTTTTATTAATTGGTCAACAAAATGTTACAAGGGGAGGTGTCTAAACTCAAAAAAAAGAATTTAATGCATAGATTTAGGGTTGCATAAACTGAAATCTCGTTCAGATAAATGCTTGCTTTAGTTTTTTTTTAAGAATGAGTCCCATTTAGAAATATTTCTTCTTTTATTTACATCTGTCATGAATTCTATATGTATTTGTATATTTTTTGAGCCCTAAAAAGGGGGTTTGCCTAGCCAACCTTATCAACCTCTGCATCAACGCTTGAAATTATTTCTCAAAACAGAAGAGGAAATAAGCATACTAAAAAGTCTTGCAAAATTATTTGCCCTTATTGCACATTTGAAAAACAATAATCTTAAACTTGATTCATGCTGCAAAAACGTATTCAATTATTTGGCATTTGATATGATTATGTCTAATATTCAAATAAAGGCCTTTTATACATGAAACGATTGCACAAATCCACAATGCTGGATGGCAAAATATCTAATGGTATGTTGTTCAAAACAAAGAAAAGTCAAGCTGATTGGCTGCATCCCTTTTGTTTTTGAGGTTATTTACATTCTTTTGCAATCCAGTATGGCAGATTTAGTACCATGTGACCGTTTCATGCAAAAGTCCTATTAGCTTCAAATGCACATTGATAAAGAAATGCATTTTATGATTATATATTATGATRTCTTACTTGCATGTAAGCTAATAATGTATTAATATTTGATCATCGGCGATCAAAGTCACAGTAGGCTATTATTATATTGATAATAAACGGTTACATGTCTGTAATGGTCATTGACTTTTTGCTAGATTCATGAAGTTAGCCTTTCCTTAATCTATTCAACTTGCCACTACATCKTTAGGGTGGGCTTTCACCTTTGGATGTAATCTTATAAGCTTGTTCAAAACAAATGAAGAAACAGCCAATCATAGAATTCGCGAGTTACAAAAAGATGAAGACTTAACCCCTCATTACGRCTTGTTCAAAACAAAAGAATTGTCTTTGCTTTTTTTAAAACGACACAGCCAATCAGAGAATTCMTTCAGAAAGAGATGAARACTTACCCCCTCATTAATCTTATTCATTTATTCATCCACTCGTTCAATTTTCAATATTTATTTATCCATATCCATTCATTTTTTAATTCATTCGCTATTAATGATTTATTTTAGGACTCATTTACGTTTAAATTAAGTAATATTGCTGTTTTTCTAACTCATTATGATCCCGAAGGGTCAAGTCAACTAGCATCCAAAATTAACTACTTAACGCGCTTGCACATATAGGACACAGTTGTGCCTTGAGTTTCCCAGTGCGAATTTTCCAGTCTGAAGATGTTTGATTCGTTCACCGAAGCCGTAAACCGCKTTGCAAAATTGGCGATTTTCCGCAACACTGAATACCGAAAACAGCCAACCTATAACAGACCCCCTTTTATGTTTGCAAGTTCGTGACTACAAATTCATTTTAAGAAGAAATTTTGGCGGGAATTGCCACCCTGTGAAACCGGTGGTAGCTTGTACATGGATGGGAAGGGCCGGCAGTGGGAGAGTGGTTGACTTAACGCGCAAAGGACTCGGCGCATTACGGTGGAGTTCTGATATATTATCAATCGTTTATCAAATTAATAAATGAAAATCGTATTCGAATATATATATATATATAAGATTTTTAAGACGTGACCTTGTTGTTTGGGGAAGTAGGGCGTTATAATGAGGGCAATGGTCACACCCCAAAGATCAGGTAGTGTAAGACCTGCTAGTCATAAACTACGCGATCAAACAAATGGCACGCGTTTTCTCTGATAAGAATTAATCGAAGAATATGATTTTTCTTTTCTCTGATTGGTTACAAACTGATTGTACGCAGGGATGGGAAGATGAAGGTTTGAGATTCAAACTTTTTTACAAAATATTTCAAATTAAAACACTTTTAAAAGATCGTTGATGGGAAGATAAAGTCAGTTAAGACAGATCTATAATAAGAGGAGAGAATGTTTTAATTTTTTTTAATCTAATTTTTGTTGYCGTGCTTCCTGAGGTGGCGGTAGACAACATTTATAAATGGTTACAATCTGCAATTTATGCTATAATTTGGCAAAAATTAGTTGATCCAATCCGTCCGATCCGTTTGAGCTCTAGGTGTACATAAAATAAGTCATATCTCGACAGTTTGTAATTATTTTGTTCCATTGTTTATAAACACTAAAAATTTGTCAAACTTAACGTCCGTAAACTAATTTATTCACTTCAATCCACTCGATTAATTATGATTTTGCGCTCTACTTAAAGTCTACTTGCGAAAATCCCACCCATAAAGACAAACTGTAGATTACGTCATATCGAAATTACAGCGATGTGACAAAAAGCCCAATGTTAAAAGCCAAGACTTTAATGGATTAGGATATATTTGTATTTGTACTCTAATCGGATTTTTTAATTTGCTTTGAATCCATTGAAGCATTTGATTCGTTTACGTAACAGGTAGATTATTTGTCAATCTAATTGTTTAAAGCAGGTGAATTATGACTAMACACTCATAACAAACATGAAGTGAAATTATCCACGAGTCCTATTCCTTTTGTGGAAGTAGGAATCAATCTCATGACAAAAGAACCTCTTGGCACGCCCTTATGAGGATATCGATCACTTTGATCAAAAGGGCTTTAGATGGCCTCGTTTTATTCGTATTTACCATCGTGTCAATCTGCCTAATCTACCAACCAGCAAARTTTTTCCCGGTGACAAGGAAAGCATACCTAGCCAGAGGMCTACAGCAACAACAACAAACATTATTATCAAACATCGAAGATGATGGGTTTTATTTTATCAAAGTTGATTCRCCCAAAGARAAATTTCTGTCGTACGAGCCTCCYATTGGTAGCTGGAGTAAGCAGCTATTGGCTTTCCAAAAYGCAGTTATCATTKCTGCACTACTGAAYCGCACACTCATCGCGCAACCGCTGGTCAGTGAATCTGAAGGCATTCGATTGAGAACATTAGTACGCCAAGAGCTAAAAAGTGAYTCGGAAGCATTTAAGTTGATCGAYTTGAAATACATGGTGCCTATTTCTGCGGTAATAAATCTTAAGTTACTTCGTAAATTACTTAGAGTAGAGGCTATTCATTCGACTTACAGCGATTTTCTTAAACAATACAGCAATTTAACATGGCATAATGTCTGCCATAAAGACAATTTGGGGTTTTGGGTGGATTTTATTCCCTCTSCAGCTAATGATGTTGCGTGGAAGGTTCTCGAAGCTCAGGAGTTTGTTCCTTTAAAGTCTTRTTTCTATGGCGTCGAGCCAGTGTGCGAACAGGAAATGGAAATGCTTGACCAAGTTCAAAGTACGACACCTGTCTTAAGGGGAATTCTTTCAGAACTGTCAAGTGTTGACGAGGAGGTGATTTACTTCCGAGGAGGCTCTCTTGCTGCGCGCGAGTTGAGATTTTTATCCAAGATACGAACAAAGAAGGTGCAAGAGTGGATCACAAAATAYATCCAGTTTTCTCCATACGTCCAAGACAAAATACACAAAATTGTACAAAGCATGAAGACGCCTTATAACGCTGTTAAAATAACAAATAATGTAAATCCCGAGATTATCAATAATACAATTCGATTTAGACTCAAAGAAATGGAAAAGAAGCACTTTCGCAACGTCACCAACAGGCTCTACGTCATTAACGAGTTTAACGAGACCAAAGGATTACGTATTCTGGAGCGAAGTGGCTATAAATTATACTCAACTATGGACTTAGTCCCTGATGGAGTCAGCACGTACATTAAACGCGACGTACAAAAGCTTTTAGGGGAACTATTATGCAAATATGCATGGTTCTAYGAAGGGCCTTTTGATTCGTATCTTATACAAAGAGCGCGCGTGCACCAGGCTCGTGTCAGAGATGGTTTGTTAACTAACTTAGTGACTGTTAAGTGGGCTTTGCACACAATTAACAGAAATCATAGATTTTCGTTTGCGAGAGAACCTTCTTTACCACAGAGCGCAAACATGGGACGGCGTCCTTTACTGAACATTTGGTGCAAGCTCTGTAGAACCATGAAAAAACAGATCAAAATCAAAGCTTGTAAGCCAATCACGAGCGAGTGCATTAGACAAAAATTGTGATATCCATGGCATTACTAAGAAGTACGAATCATTTAGTTTGACATTTGTTTTATTAGAAGAACCACAAAACGCTCCTATGATTTATATAATGTGCAAGTTTCTAAATAATTTATGGGAATATTTCACTTAGCCCACATTATTGGGCAATCCTACCGTTCGATAAACTTCACTCTGACGCACCATGGCACGGAATCCGGATTCCCAGAAAATTTTGGCTCTGTAATTTTAGAAGCAAGAGCAAGCCGGTATCCAAATTATTCCTTTCAAATATTTCATAATTTTAAACGAGACACTGACGTCGAAAATGAAAAAAATAGCTCGGATGATTTGCAATCTGAATACATCATGGTGGAATTCTTTCAATGTAATCCGGAATCAATAAGCTGTGAATCCGGAATTCAGGAACACTCCAGATTCCGTGGTGTCGTAGAGCAACCTTTCTCTAAATTGTTCGGTTCTAATTAGTCTTTTTTTTCGGACTGATTCAAAATCACCCTCAAAGTATGCCCTTTTCCCTGAACAATAGTTCCAATTCGTAAATACGTAGAACCTTTAACTTTTACAGGTAGTATAGGTCATACCCCACCTCCTCAATTCCTGCACACATACTCTGACACATTTCTTTTCCTTATTTTATTTGTAGSCCCTACAAACGAAATAAGAGAATAAATATGCCAGTATAAGCGTGGAAGAGAGAGGGGTGGGACGTATCAAATCTCAACCGCGCCCCTCCTGATAATGTTATATTGCGCAGTCTCTAAATACACCTTTTCAGTTGCTCTTAGGCCTCGACAGYGTGTTAAATATTCTTTTGAATTTGTAGGAATGTGAGCAATGCAAACATTGATATGAATAGTCTCATTTGTCAAATTCAAAAGAATAATTAACTTGCTATCGAGGCCTAAGTACAACTGAAAAGGTGTAATTGTGATCACATATACCTTTTTGTCACGACAAATTACCTCCAGTTCTGTAGTAGATGATAATGAAATCAAAGACTCATATGATAAGCATAATGTTGTTTATTGATTTTCCTAATCAAATATGTATCAGTTTTTTTTACAGCTAGTATTTTAGCACTATTGCCTGCAATCACTTYATGCTTTCACATTGCTGTATTACTTTCAATACTGACATTTTATTACAAAATTGCATTATAAAACAATTGCTTCCCGCAAAGCGAGACCTGAYGACGTAMGCGCTAAAACAGAAATGTTGATTTTATCACTTCGTAGCACATAGTAGAATGTAGTGTAAGGACATTGTCAAAGTAACTTTGATTATTGCGCATGCTCATATGTGATTTCTATGACTATCCCACATGGGTTTGTTCCAAGTTTTTCTCGTGAGTGCAGTGAGATAAGTTGACTTTCTTGCACAAAGTGAAGGTAGTGATTTAATTCAACATTAAGAGACTCATGAAGTTATCTCTCGGGACTTTTTATCTTGGTCAGTTCAATTTAAGAATCTCTTAGTCCATTTAATTCAGCTTTCTTTGAACTTTATGTCAAATTAGGAGAATTTATATGCATCTAGGAACATTTTTTCCGTCATTGACTTCGTCAACCATTTTATAAAAAAGCTGTGTATCAGACTAGAGGATAGCGATTGTTGCATTTTGCTAGTAGAGCGGATTTCGTACGAGTGGGACACCGTTACCACACGGTTACCGCACAGTTACCGAACCTGGCCTKCACAATTTTGGTGAACCAATGGGGCACTAGAATTTGGTTACAGTACGATTACGGTCACAGTACAGTACCGTCCGTTTCCCACTCATACGAAATCCGCTCTAAATAATACCTACATGTAATAGCACACGAACCACTAAACACACCGTGGTTTAGCGCGAACCAAGCTAAATTTTAAAGTACATATAAAATTACGCTTAATGCTAATAGCAAGCTACTGAAAATTCCTCCATTTTTTCCAAGTAAAACATAACTAGTAGCAGCGCTCTTCTCCTCCTTTTTAAGTCCATCGTGACTATCCTCTATGTAAACCGGGCACCCTGTGCTTTCWCCACAGAAATCCCAACAATGTGGACAAACGAGTGAGCCCGTGATGCTCCAATCGCCTAAGAAACCGCTGACATTTAATAGTTGGCCTTCTTTARCGCATGAGTACGTATTATTAAGGACCCGTACGTGAAGGCCATTATCACAGTAGTACTTRTAGCAACCACTGCCCCAGTCTAACATCGTCCTGGTTAATAACCCTTTCTTGGCTATCCATGGGCGTCCTTGCTGAAAGCATTTACAGTTCAAACCGTAAGTCTCAAGTGCRTAATTATCGCGCTCCGATGGAGCGTTGTCGCGTGACGTACAGGTAGTTTCCCGCCTTTTTCCATCGTTTCCGGTTAAGGTAAATTTCTGATAGTAKGGGCAATAGTCTGCTAGCGCGACAGCGCCCCCGTAGGACGAAGTATCTTTGTGTAAAGTTCTACTATGGCCATTTGATGCTTCTTTCATATCAGGCAAGTGGCTAAAGTATTGGTATTCCTCTGGYAAAGGTYTCTCGTATTGACGTAGATTACACAATGCCAATGACATTCTACTATGTGTACAGCGCATGCGCAAAGGCGTTTGCTTGACTGTAAAGCAAAACGGCTGTGCTCTATGATCGCTGTCGTCTATGTGATCCTCCATCCACGTTTTACAACTTGATTTAGCAAATTTACAACCCAGATCTCTTCCCCAGTCCAAATCGTCCGCCATACTGTAGTTCGGCTTGTACCAGCCCGTATCTTCCATTAATGCGAGWGTTAATTGAGAAAAGACTGGGTTYTGGGTGTAGGTCCCAGTCATTGCTTCGTTTTCAAAGAGTCGTTTYTCCCARTGGGTAAACTCCGTACCAACACCTCCTTGGTTCTCGATTTCTGCTCCTTCTAGYGAATCACAGTTGAAATGATCACGCACTGCTTTCTGTACATTTGGCGTGACAATCATCTGTACTGCGTGACTGATTCGACCTCTGCGTACAGCCCAATTGTCACGCACTATTTTTTTCACCACCTTGTCGCTCCACTGATAAAGTTTAAACTTTTCGTTATACGGCGGGAGGCCATGCTTGTCTCTCGGTGTATACGGCTCACCGAACTTGTCTCTGTAGAATGCAAAAAGCCCGGCACTAAACCCAAGTGCGTGATAAATCTCATGTTTTACAGTTGATATAAGATTTGAGTAGTGTCTGGGATCTGGATCAAGTCTATCTGGACAGAGATTGGCGAACCCCGCTACAGGCCTATCGTGCACCTGCTCTTGCTGACAGTACGANTCTCGTATTGACGTAGATTACACAATGCCAATGACATTCTACTATGTGTACAGCGCATGCGCAAAGGCGTTTGCTTGACTGTAAAGCAAAACGGCTGTGCTCTATGATCGCTGTCGTCTATGTGATCCTCCATCCACGTTTTACAACTTGATTTAGCAAATTTACAACCCAGATCTCTTCCCCAGTCCAAATCGTCCGCCATACTGTAGTTCGGCTTGTACCAGCCCGTATCTTCCATTAATGCGAGWGTTAATTGAGAAAAGACTGGGTTYTGGGTGTAGGTCCCAGTCATTGCTTCGTTTTCAAAGAGTCGTTTYTCCCARTGGGTAAACTCCGTACCAACACCTCCTTGGTTCTCGATTTCTGCTCCTTCTAGYGAATCACAGTTGAAATGATCACGCACTGCTTTCTGTACATTTGGCGTGACAATCATCTGTACTGCGTGACTGATTCGACCTCTGCGTACAGCCCAATTGTCACGCACTATTTTTTTCACCACCTTGTCGCTCCACTGATAAAGTTTAAACTTTTCGTTATACGGCGGGAGGCCATGCTTGTCTCTCGGTGTATACGGCTCACCGAACTTGTCYCTGTAGAATGCAAAAAGCCCGGCACTAAACCCAAGTGCGTGATAAATCTCATGTTTTACAGTTGATATAAGATTTGAGTAGTGTCTGGGATCTGGATCAAGTCTATCTGGACAGAGATTSGCGAACCCYGCTACAGGCCTATCGTGCACCTGCTCTTGCTGACAGTACGACGCGTACGCTACGGCGTTAGCCACGTCACAATGTTGGGTCTGTAAAGCCGATACGTACAGAATRAAATCYTTGTCTTTAACTCCMTGACCGGCGCCCCATTCATCACCGGGCATCACYAAGCACTCTGCTCCTTTAGTGTCACATATCCGGCATTTATCTAGATGCYTTCGAGGTACAGAAACGGGRCCACATTTMGTTGGCACGCACTCCAACTTGCAGTACTGCATATCACCTATTTTTCTGCCCTTTTCGTCTTTTAAAAAGTACGCRTTATTCTTACATGTTCTTTGCAGTTTTATATTCTGCGTGATCGCTCGTACAGTTAGTGTATTGTGAAAATACTCGATTGCTTCGGGTATTAACTTCTTAGTGACAAGCTTTTTGTTATCTGGAGTAAGTTTTGTAATGCTATTGTCGTAGACGACTTCAAAACGTAGTTTTTGGTTGATTTCTTGACGTTTGATGACATGTGGGGGGCCGACGCGGACATTGTGGCCCATTTCATGTTTTGAAGGTATGGGGTAGTGTGCTTGACTGTCGTGGAGAACCAAAAAGGYTGTAAACATGGCCAACAAAGATGGGAATTTTATAAGCTGAGTATCTTCAACTGCAGGATAATCTAGAATGGAAAAAGAGGAAAATATAACATATCTTCAAGGGAGGATCCAGGGAGCAAAAGAAGTGACTAGCCAGCCCCCTTTTTAGGATCCAAAACATTTTATGAAAGAATAATTCTTGACTAAGATGGCAAAGTGTCTGGCTTGACTTTTAAAAAAAGTGTTTTGTTTGACTTAGACGAAAAGTGTCTGGTTTAATGATTGACTAAGATACAATAATGTCTGGATAACTGAATGACTGAGTCATGTTTGCGACTTTTATAAGAAATAAATTCTAAAATGATTCATTCTGAAAAACGATTAACTTTCCGACAGCAGCGCTCGTCTGAGGAGGAAATCAAGCCCTAAATTTGTCCCTTTTTTTCTTATGTCAGTCATTTTCATTTGTAAATGGATTGAATTCACCACTGTGAGTATGACTGAGGTATTATTATTTTTTCAATAATGTGGAAACTACTGAAAGATTCCGCGTGTTTTCACCGTGTGTGGAAACATGGCCATTTAAAAATTTCAGGATACGGTCAGATAGGTCCGGCGGTATGCAACCCGTATTCTTCAAAAGGTGTTGAAAGAAGTTCACCCTCTCCAGTCTTGATCTCTACATAGCTTACAACTTAGCCTCACTATTCATGTTCTAGACCTCTAAATGAAAAACTAGAAAAAAATGAATATTTTAGTGAGTTTTGAGATTTCCCACGTGACCGAGAATAAATTCCAACTGCAGAGAGTATCTTGTTACAAATTTTAAATCGATTGGAATAGTACCTTATATCATTTATAATTGATATTAAAACGAAAGGAAATTATATGAGCAGACGTAACTAAAACAAAAAAATTTGCATGAGAATTTTAACTTCATTTTTTCAAACATAAAATAAAATAAAAATATTTTTATCGCATTTTTTGCTCGTGAAGTGGTTATTCATGACTAAGAAATAGGTGAAAAATGATAAACTAAAAACACGAAACTTTTCCTATATTTAATCACTATTTTTTCTTGATTCAACAAAATTAAAAATCCTGTAAATTTGCACATGGTGGCTTGGAACTTTTAATAAAAACAACCAATTTGTCAAATCTTTGTCAATTCCTAGTGCTTTCTCAAGATCTTGAGSCGAATAAGACGTACACGTGAATTACATTACATTTCATGTTATAAAACTATYAGAAACCAATGCGTATTTACCCATTATTTGTGAGTTTTCGTTGGTTTTCTTACGCCCCTGTTTCTCTTCAACGGACGGTCTGCTTTGGGCTAATTATAAACTATTTGACGTGCATGGTGGCATTTGAATCAAAATACTCGCCTGGTGGCAAAGTCATTGAAACGTGAGTGTTCACTAAAACTAAAAATGACGAAAGCGAACAAACCCTTGAATCCTATTGGTCCTTAATATATGATAATGTGACAAACAGGTTACGAATGATTGGTCGAGAAGGAGTGACACTTTAAGAACCTGTTTGTTCATTGGTTGTCATTCATGCTCGCCTAAGTGTGCAACTATTCACACACAAAAACTATGGGTAATGTCTACACGTATATGTAGAACGTATCCAACTTCATGAATGAAAAAAAGGGTTAGTTTATCGCTTTACTAGCATAAACAAGTGGGAGTCTTAGCTCAATGTACATTTAAHCGGAGGATAGCGCTATAGTCACCCTTCGTACATCTGGCTCCAGTGTTTGAACTAAAAGGGCTACACTAACTGTTTCCTTAAAAAGCCGCAAAGGACATGGAAACCGATCAGGGGGCGGTGCGATTGAAGGATGAATACGGGTATCCACTGGATAAATCCATACCCGTCGGACAATATCCATGAATTGAAAAGCCATGAG